TTCAGATATAGATAATGTAACAAACATGCGTCGTCTATTAGGATACATATTTAGAATATACCCAAAGTGGTGTAGGGTATTATATAGTCGGCCCAGTCCGACTTTACTACTTTCCTTACTGGTTATAAAATATTTTTATTTTTTTCATGAACAGAAATATAATGTCAAGAAAAAATTAAAGTGTAGATTTTTAAGAATACTTTTTTCCAAGGACAGCTTAACGAATGGGGCGTGAAAAAATCATCGAGATCCCAAACGTTCTCGATCAGAATAAAATTATGTGTCAATAAAATATATCTTTGAAATTTTGTACCCACATTGCTTTAACTCCTGGTATATTTATTATTGGTTTTTAGCCACCATTAACACAGAATACCAGATTATAGGTACTTTAGTGAGGACATACAGCCAAAAACCTAGGGTATATGTCCTCACTAAAGTATCTATAATCTGGTATTCTGTGTTAATGGTGGGTAAAAACTTGTTCCAAGTAAATGTTTTATTGTTGCATTTTCCCGCCAACGCCACTGTAATATTCAGAATTATTGGAAGGTGAAAACCATTTGCACCGATAATATTCTATATGTTTACATATAAATGTTCCACTCCATTTTCAATTCTTTGGCATTTCGGCTTTATGGTTTATAAAAAAAACTCCTTCCCACAAAATGTTCAAATGGGTTCATATTTTTACAGTTTGCCCGCACAAAGGCTCCATTGAGAGTATAAGCTCATTATGATAATGACATAGATCCCAGTAGATGACATAAATCCCAGTGGCCGAAATTTTCGTACACTCCATTATAATGTACTCATTTAAAATCGGTTGGGGCCTTCTATTGGGATCTATGTCATTCTTATTAGTATCCTAGTAATATGCTTTTACTTTCAATGGAACCTTTGTTCGGGGCAGTGTAAAAACATGCACCTATTTCAACATTTTGTGGGAAGGAGTTTTTTATAAACCATGACTCAGGAATGCCAAAGAATTGAAAATGGGGTGGAAAATGTATACACGTATTCTCGTTTTTCTCCTTAGTCAGTAATTTTTGATGATTAGTTCTTACTTACGCTCTCACACTCTTACTCTCGATTTACACTGCCATAAATATGATAAGCCAATTAGTAGTACAATAGGCGTATACTTCATTAACGTTCGAATTATATCAATTATACTCACCGTGGTCTAGAATGTAAAATTTCGTTATTTATTTGTTTTTTTATCATTTGCTCAACCGAACATAAGAGAAAACAAACAATAGAATAATTTTAATTAGTTTTAAGTGAATTAATATACAGTTGAATAATTTTGTTTTATTATAATTAGAATTAGTTGTGCGTTCAACAGCAAAAAAGGAAAAATAATCTAAATTAAATTCAATTTATTTGTCCTCTTCTCTACTTAGGCTGCAATCGAACCTATTATGGTGATACTGGACAAACCTATTCATTGGAATTGCATCGTCCCAAACAGGATCGTTTGCCGTACATTTGTCAATTGACATTTACAGCAGCTGGAGGACAGCATGGTGATGTTGTACAGGTAACTATTGAATGGAAAATAAATGTTTGTATAAAAGCATAGAGATGTTTGTGTAAAAAAAAAAATTAATTGATTTTGTTTAACTGCTGGCTATTTTAATTTATGTTTTTTTATTGAAATAGGTTTTATACAAAATAATCACAGAGAAGAAATGAAAATTTCAAAAAATTATCGATCATTAATGCGCAATTTGACATACCGAAATATTGATTTGATAAAATCAATTTAAATTGAAACAAATCGTAATTAAGTTAATTTTAAAATGAGTTCATAATCCACAAAATATCGAAAGTCGGAAAGTGCCGATATATGAGAGATACACTTACGAATACTAATTACCCCCTTGAAACTTAAAAACATCTAAAATTTCTGTCAAAAATGTGACTAAATGCCTAAAATTGGTAGGTAACTTATATAAAGCGCGGTAATTAATCTGCCATACCAAAAAATTTTGGTTACTTTTGTAGACTTTATATTGTCGCATATTATTATTCTGAAGAGTTACAAATGAGGCCACAAACATAATTTATTCCCCATACTATGAGGGTGGAGGGTATAAATGAAATCAAATTATTATACCTTCTATCACAAGGTGAAGTGTATATTAAATTTGTCAATCAGGTCACCCGAGACCCCTGATATATATATATATATATATATATATTAGATTGGGGAAAAATTAAACAATTATTTTTTCGGCAGGTGGCTGTATTGATAGATCTCTTGTAAAGTATCAATCAAACAATTTCAGATTTATGGAAGGGTGACATTTCGCAGTAAAACACTTTTTGTGAGTTAGAAATTCGGCAAATTTTACAGTTCTTCTTTGACAAAGGCGACAATGTAAGCCAAGTGGTTAAAATTGTGAATCCAATACTGTAACAGTCAATTATGTGCAATTTTGGTTTCGTAGATTCCGATCAGGAATTTTATGTTAAAGAAACACCTCGCACAGGTAGGCTGGTCGTAGAAAATTTCGATAAAATCGGAGAAATGATTGATGTTGACCGGTATGTTAGCCATCGTAACATCGCCCAGGAGCTAAAAATCGACCATAAAACTGTTTTACCATTCACAATTGAAATGGCCAGAATTGACCAAAAGGAGAGGTGTCGTGTTCCACCCGAACAACGCTAGGCCAGTGACTCGCCAGAAACTTCGGGTTGCCAATTTTTAATGCATCTGCCATATAGTCCGGACTTGGCACCAAGCGATTGCCATCTTTTTCTTCCATTGCAACATTTCTTTAATGATAAAAATTGGTATCTAGGGAGGATTGTGAAAATCGATTACTAGAGTTATTTGCAAATAGAGAGCGAGACTTCTATGAGAGAAGCATTATGAAGTTACTCTTAAAATGGCAACAAATCATACAACAAAATGGTGCATATTTGGCCCAAATCGGACATTCGAAGTATGTTAAATAAAGTTCTATAGCTCAATAATGGATTTCTTTTTCACCAACCTAATATATTCTCCATCAGAATAAAATTCTTTGTCGATTCATCCATTTCCATCATTGTACACATCAGTTTGTTGAAATCAAGATAGAGCTCGCAATATTTGGCGATAGAGCTTTGAAATATTGTGCGACATTGATAACAAAATTATTCCTAGGATATATGGGGATATATTATATCCCTATTTTATTATTTTATATTTATATTTACATATAAAATACACAAATTCATTTAATTATGTATCGAAGCTATTTAAGGGAACCCCACCCATTCTCGATTTTAATTTTTCAGGATTTTCAATGTACTGGTAAATCAATACCAATGCTTGTTAAGGTTTGTAACTTTGCACATATATATTTGAAGATTTAAAAGAGAAGAAAAATAATTTACAAAAAAATTTTGTTATTGTTTTGTTGTTGTTTTTTGTAATTAAAGAAAAGTCCTTATTTTTGATGGCGGGCATGATAACTCCTCACTGGAACATCGGAATCCGAAAATTCCAACGGTGTTAGAAAGAGTACATGTCTGGCTCTGTATCAAATTTCAGGATTATTGTATTCGCTCTAAAATTAACAAAATGGTGGACCTTTGAAAAAATATTTTTGGAAAATTGCCGATTTTTTACCAAAAACCTAGTTAAAAAATAAGGAAGATCTTCACCGATTGGCTTTATCCTAGTTCATACAAGAGCTATACACTCCCAGAGAAACGTGTAAAAATTTGAAGTCGATTGGATTATTATTTTTTGAGTTATCGTGCCCGCCATTCGCAAAAAAATGTTTAGAGAAAAACGCGTTTAAAGTTTGAGAAGCCCTTCAGCCGTCACTTGATGCTGACACAATAAATCGGCTATATCTTCAAGAGTTCTTGAGATTTTCACTTGAAATTTTGTAGAGACATTCTTTAATCAGTGTAGATTCCAATTATATCAACAAAAATTTTGACCCCGAGAATGGGGGGGGTCTCCTTAATTTATGACTCAATTCTATACACTATGTTAAATTTCGTTTCGATCGATGATATCTTCAAATAAATGACCTGCAACAAATATCATCCAATCCTGTCATCGGTATGCGATCTCTACTTAGGTCACAAAAATACATAGACTGACGAGTCTCGGTACGATTTTCTCTAATCAGATTTTTGGTTCGCATGGTATGTCAAACCTTCCTACCAAAAATTATGCATAACGGCAAGTTTAATACTGCTCCATGTTTTGACATAGCCCTATATACAGATTCTGATCCATTTTATACCCTCCACCATAAGGTGGAGTGTAATAAAATGTTGCCGTAGTTACCAACCGGTATGGCTGTAATCTGTTATAAGGGGTTCTTAAAGGCTCACATACTAATATATATAAAATTCTATGTCGATTATTCGTCTGTCTATCCTTCTTTTGAAATCACATAGAGATTCAGATAGAGCTCTGAAATTTAGCACAGACATTGGTAGTACACTTAGGATAATTGCGGTGTGATATATCGGTCCACGTTTTGGTGTAGCCCCCAATATTCAGCATATTGGGGATTTTGGACACGTTTTCCAAAGAATTGGCTGTTAATTGACATTTTGTGTTCCCATGTTTCCTATATAACTGTGTACCCCCAGTATTTGGAATTTTGGGGATTTTGGACAGATTTTCCAAACGAATTGACTGTAATTTTATATTTTTGGTTCTCACATTCCAGTACTAAAAATTGTTAATATTAGCCCACGTTGAAGAGTAGACCCCACAATTTTTGACACGTTTTTCAATCAAATTGGCTGTAATTAATATTGATCCATGTCGGTATTTTGAGAATTTTCGACAGGTTTTTAAACCGAGTTTTATGTTCAAAGCCCCCATTAATTTAGATCTTTTGATTGTCATCCTCATGGTGGAGGGTATAAAAAGTTCGGCCGGGCCGAACTTATCATCATTATTACTTGTAGGTATTTTGAAGGTTTTTGTAGCATTTTCCGTTTGTAGTGGCTATATTTGGGGAATTCAAGGATATTGAAGGTTAAAATGTGTTTTGTTTCACAAAAAATTCTCGCTCGATTTTCACGATAATAAAGTTTAGACTGAATTTTCTCATTGATGTGCCTTAAATTTAGCCTATCGGTTTCCTGGGAACTTATTTACAGAAATTATTCAATATTCTTCAATATTTTAAAATAACCCCCATACAAATGTCTGTTTTTGTAGAATATTACCTAGCTTGCGCCTTCGTGCTGATAACAATGTACTTCATTGTGATGTTTCAATTTTTGAAACTGTCATTTTCAAAACAACTCTTTTTATATCAAATACATAATGACATTATGTCGTGCTATGATAACATTTCATGATATTGCACGTCCAATTCCTCCATTCTCTTTCTTTCTCTAATTTTTTGTTTTGAAAAAAAAAAAATCAACAACAACAAAATTAAAAGACGTCATTAATTTTTATCAGCTCTGTGGTTAAGACGGTAATTTACTCCGACACTTTTATCCACTTGAACTCATGAGCTCTATTATGTCGCTGACGAGAGGGAGGTAACATCCCGGTTTTCGGAAAGTCTGTTGCACACATACCCTCCCACAATAACATCTTCCATAGACTTCAGTCATCGTCTATATAAGAATGGATAGCAAATTACGTTAAAACAACGATACACAACAAGGGCAACAAAGGCAATTGTATGCTACGAAAAAGAGAAAGAAAATCCCCCTCAACTTGTGGATCCTTATTACAGGAACATTAACTGTTTCTGTGAAAGACGTTTTTCTTACTCTTCTACTTCCTTGTTCTGTCTTTAACTGTTAAAAAAGGTGCAAACAACACATTTCAAAAGTCCATACATATTTCATAAGACAAATACCACACCGCCCCTAATAGAGACAATAGCATTGAAAATTGTTATCGATTTACAATCAGCAAAATTTTGTCTAGAACCGTTTTGTCCGAAAATCTCCAAATTTTAGAATTTATTTTTCCCATTTCTGAGAAATGTCACGGATATCTAACTATACCATTTCAGTTCAAAAATCATCGTAGAAACCCTTTATCCGCGCTTATACGTTTTTATTCGAAAAGTGCTGGAACAAGTCTAAAAATCACTGCAAATGATAAACTAAGTCAATATTAGGTATTCTAGAACGTTTAGAAAATTAAAATAAATCAATACCACCTAGCCGAAAAGCTCCAAAATATAGAAATTCGTTTTAGACTTCAAAAAATGTAAGGATATCTACCAACATTACTTTTGTCATAAAATCTGCAAAAATCCGCTTTGAATTACTTATCTGTTTTTATCCGAAAAATATTGAAGTGATAGAAGTGATAGTTCGAAATAAGTTCCTAAGGATAATTAAAGTTAAAATAATGAATTTTGGTGTAGAAAATCTCCTAACATCTGCATAGAACGCCTTTATCCGCGCTTATCCGTTTCTATGCGTATATTCTCCAAGTGGTGAAATAGGTCAAAAATCGCTGGAAGTGATAAACTAAGTCATGATTAGCTATTCTAAGCCGAAACCCATTTATCCACGCTTATCCCCACACTTATCCGA